ATCCCAACTTTATCTATATATAAAATAAAATTTCTAAATCTCTTGAAACATCCCTCAGAGAACTTTTCGATTTTCTTAGAAATACAACAAAATATTAAGTTCACGATTTTCATCATGATTCTTTGATTTCTTTCTGTTCTTTAATGTTTTTGTATCGTTAAATTGATTCAAAATGCGTTGGAACGTTTTCCGACTTGGAACGGGGAGGTTAGGATAAAGTCTTTTCTGTTACCGAGATACACAGTCAGTATATCCAATCTGACATTCTCACTATAATAAGGCATTTTCACCATTGATTGGACAATAATTATTGAGCAACAATATCTATACTCAGGTCCAAGATCGACACTGACAGTACATTTATAGAGAATACAGAATACACTATTAAACAAAAAACAACACAACCCTTTAGAGACCAACTCATTGAGCTTCCCACATCGAACGTTATATCAGCAAATCGGCTATATCTTCTTAGTCGTTTGACATAACCCCATCATACCCTATATTGTTGGATTCATTTTCGAAATCTCCAACTGACTGTGGAATAGAATATAGGGTGTTCCATTTAAAAAAATCAACTAGTACCCTGTAGATTGTTTGTTTTGACCACCCTGTATTTTCTGATGTGGCAGAAAAAAAATTCATGAAAAATCATGATTTTTCAAATTTTGAAATCGGTCCGAAAACAACTGAGCTAGAGGGGGGGACATTTATGGTGAATCACCCTGTACTTTAGAACTTCAGATGATGATGCCAATGTCGGGTATTTTCATGAGGTTCACCCTGCGAAGTGGAAATAAGAAAAGTAGGGTGCTAGGCACTTGCAATTTTTTTCACTTCTGCTGGCGACTGACAGATGCACTGGAAGTAAGATGCATTTCCCTTGCGTAAATATCTTCGATGTTTCAAGGAAAATCACATGTAAACGTGGCACAGAAAGTGCCACTTCACCTCAATATGAAACAATGTTTTTTTTCCATATTAGTATTTTGATCCTCACTATAATTGGAGACTCTCAGTCCGTGAGAAACTGGAATAACATGAAAAATCTTATGCTGGTAGATGGAAGCATTGACAAAAAAAAGTTTCTTTAGTTTTTTTTTCCACTGTGTGTTCATTTCATTTCATAATTTCTCAGTATGAAATGAGGGTTCATTCGATTTTTCTGTTATGCGTTTTATTACACACAATTACTAGGATAATTCCTTTTGTGAAACTCCAGTAATCAGCATTCAATAATATATTGAGTCGATGTCTAGTTTCGATCAATGGCCATAATTTATGATGTTTTCTCTGCCCAAATGCATCGAATAGAACAAGATTCCATAAGAATCGATGTGGCCTTTAAATGCCACGGCTCGCGTCCAAAGAAAGCTATAACATTATACAGGGTGATTCACGGTGGATGGTACATTAGACGTTTCTGGAGAACGCAACTCAGGATTATTCTGAGAAGTTGGTGCGTTGCGTGTTCTCAGCGTTGCGATGTTGCCGCTTATATTGAAAAGTAGCAACAACTTTGATTTTTTCAATGAAACACCCGGTATATCATTCCATTTTCAGATTCTTCCTGAAGAGCTGGTTCCATCGATTTATCACACTTGAGATCTAGCGGGAATGATAGCAAAGGTATAGGGTGTGAAAAATCGAAATTTCACAACTTTAAGTAGTTTTTGTGTCGTGACTATTCATAATTGATTAAAATAGTCGAAGGAAAATTGTGAAGTTTATGGATTCTTGAATTTCGAATGAAAGTACTGAAAGGTCTTGCTCTTGTGATTTTGAAACTTGAATATATTGACTAAGTTTCCTCTACATGAATCATCATATTCCAGTTTGAGGGCACAACGGGTACTTTAGAGACTTTTATGTTGTATGTCATACTCTTCTAATTTTTTTTGCAGGTATAAAGTAGAAATTATCACTTCGAAAATGAAGCTAGAAGTATATTTGGAATCTGAGTGACGATTCTAATATTTCAATATCGAATATTAGGCAATTCAATAACCTGTCAAACTATGTGCTGGTTGGAACAAAATGCAATTATTTATGTGTGATAAATCGTTTTTTTACGTGAATTCCTGTTGGTATTAGAAGGACAAGTCATATAATCGCAAAAAATCACAGACAGTAACTATTCAATAATTGTTTTACTAACATCATTTCATGGATTTTATATAATAGTGCCAACAACAACTAACCTGAGTTGGATTGCCTAATATCTAATTATCTAATCACTTATTGTTGTCATGTAGATAAAAAATAGAGTTTACAAGCCTGTTTGACAGTTCATGTAATCAATAATTTCCAAAGTTTTCGATGTTTTTGCGAATCAAGCTGAACTTTCACTATAAGTCGAGATTTACCATGCACATAACAATAAAAATGGCTAAAACTTCCCTCCGCAGCTATGGATGATATAACGATATTGTAACGGTGCAAAAAACGGTAACATTATTTTTTGCTGGTTATCACTGCTTGAAATTGAACTGCCCCACAATTCGAATGTGGATAACAAGCTACATTATTCTTCAATAAAGAGAAAAATGCACATAAAAATCAAGAATACAAATTTTTCGTTAAATAATCAAGATACCAAGTACCTATAACTACTATTGTTGAAGGTTTTCATTCAGTTTTAGGCTTTTTCTTGACTTGTGTTTCAGTTTAGTCATGTTTTTATCAATGCTCATTGATTTGTTCTTGATATTTTATGGGTTTGTTGAAACATGTGCTCATCCTCAAACATTGAATTTGATTTCTGATTTTATTTTACAAATGTTTAAATCATCAGGTATCTGATATCCAAGGCAAGTTGATTTCAGATAATAGTATGTTATGGATGGCTATGAAGGGAATTGTGAGGCCTCATCAATGGTATAAAAACAAATATGGCGCGCCCACGAGAAGAACAGAAGTTGCATGATAAATCTTTGTAAATAGTGAAGATACAATATTTTTGACAATCTCAACTTCTTTGCAAATGATTTCACTTTTTCATGCAAAATTTCAAATCTCTTCGTCAGGACGGCTGAAATTTCTTTGGTTTGCAAAATGGCATAAATATATCTAATTGACCTAACTTTGTTCAAATTTCTATCTCTTACCGTTTAGGAAATAGCAATACTGTCCCTATGAAATCGGCAGGATTAGGACAAAAACCACAGTGACAGATTGCCCTCATGATTTTTCGAATTTTCAAGATTACTATGGATATCCATCAAGTAACTGCCGATACAATCTAAAAAAATCATTGACCTGCATCTCTTTCTTCATCGTTCCAGTACTGTTGAGCGAAACCAGCGAACACGACGACCAGATTCTCTATGAATCCACCAAAGCTATTAGGAAACATGAGCAACATGTAATACTCTGAGAGGGTCGTAATACTCTCAGAGGGTCGATTATTTCACTGGTGATTGTATATGGTTAGCGAATGTTGAATTTGTTTCCTTTTACAAAAAAAAGCTGGTGTTCATGAATGAGTTGATTAAGCAATCTACCTGTCTGACCAATGTATATCTTTTGACAAAATCTACAGTTCAGTTTGTACTCATGATTTTTCGAATTTTCATGGATTACTACAGCTTTCCATCAAGTAACGACCGATTCAATTCAAAAAATCACCTTTCACTTTTTTTCTTCTCATTCCAGTACTGTTGAGCGAAACCATCGAACACGACGACCTACAATTCAAGACGCTCAAGATCACCGATTTCGGTCTCGCGCGCGAAGTCTACAAAACGACCAGGATGTCTCAAGCGGGAACTTACGCCTGGATGGCACCCGAGGTCATCAAGAACAGCACCTTCTCGAAGGCGAGCGACGTGTGGAGCTACGGCGTGCTGCTGTGGGAGCTGCTCACGGGAGAGACGCCCTACAAGGGTATCGACACGCTGGCAGTTGCTTATGGCGTCGCCGTGAACAAGCTGACGCTGCCCATACCGAGCACTTGTCCGCAGCCGTGGCGGGAATTGATGGAGAGTGAGTACGGGAGCTGTTTATTTTTTTTATCAACTAGATTTTCATATATGACACCTGAGACATATTTATTCGTACGTTTTTAGCGTGGCTACAATACAGGGCAACCTTGACCATTTGACACCTAGACATCTAGATATATTCTTCTATTTTCAGAAGCGTATTTTTCGTGTGAATAGTGGTTTTTTTAGCTGAATATCTTGATGTCGCTTTACGGACTAAGTGGCTTTTTAGAGGACTATTTAAGAAACTCGAGTGCGAGTTTTTTAGTAGGACTATACTACACTGTCTCTCAAAACAGGCTTTCTAGAATGCTAAAAGTAGAGAAGGTATGTACAATCACTTCCTGAGTCATCACATACTTGTCAGAAACAGGTGTGTGTCAAAAGAATGCAGGCTTTAATAATTGCATTCACTCTATTCATCCTCGCATTGAAAAACTTTTAATTCTTCCATCACCAAGTTTATCACAATCTGTCGAATCGACAAACTACTATTTGCCACCAAACTAAACTTCGCCAGTGAATTGGCGATAACCAAACATTTGAACAAGGAAATTTGGGAAAAAAGATCACTGGAAAATGAAGGCATTCAGGATTATTTGAAAATACTGAAAATATTAGAGCTTTACTAGAATTATAATGGTCGCGAAACGCCTGGATGGCGCCCGAGGTCATTAAGAAGAGCATCTTCCCGAAGGCGAGCGACGCATATTTACACACCCTCTCATACGACGGCACCAGCGGCTGAAATCTGTGAGTCTGTAGCCAACAGTGACGCTACAAAAGTTCACTGATTTAGGCACACAAGTCTACAGAAGCTTTCCGACCGAGAGCTTCGCTCATTCACTATCAGCCTCAACAGTAAATGCCTCCACAGTACTTGTCCTAAAAAGTATATTTTCCGACCAAAAAAAGGCAAACCTGGATCGCCCGCGTGGCGTTCGAACACACTACAAACTAAGACACAAAGCCTAATTGGAAACTATCACATGAAGAAAGGATACATAATACGTGAAGGTGCCTAAATCGGTGAGCTTTTACGGCACTGTTGACTATGACAGGCTCACAGATTTCAGCACGCTGGTGCCGTCGTATAGAAGGATATGTGTAAATATGCTGATGGCAGAGACGCCCTACAAGGGCATCGACACGCTTGCAGTCGCCATGAACAAGGTGACGCTGCCATACCGAGCAATTGTCAGCATCCATAGCGGGAATGGGCCTTTCCAATCATTTCTGGAAAACATATGTCTAGAAATATATGGCTCTTGAATACCCTAAAACAATTTTTTGAAATTTTTTTTTCATCAATTGATCGTATGAAAAATTATCAAAAACGCCAAAATGTACGAGCGGATTCAAATGATCAGACCTGGCCGCGAACCATGTTACGTCAGTGCGCGAGCAAATTGGATTGGTAATTCCCTGACCTTCTTGCAGGTGCCAATAAAATGCATGATGGATTTGGACAGAAAGCTACGATCAGTCGGGTATTCATTCCTCGATTTTTTTATTTTAGCAAATAATACAGATGCTGTTAAATAACTCAACTTATAACTACTTACCTGAAAATTCGTGGTATTGAATTTGCATTGATTGATTATTGATGATTAGTTGGTTGATTTCTGTTGGAGAATTATTCGAAATTTCATTTTGTATTGAATTACAGTGCAGATATTCCTGACATTCAGAGTCAGAATCCTTCCAGTGAAGAACTTTCAAGTTAAGGTAGTTACCTATTATGTATCTACCTATATCTATCTACCTACCTATACTTATCTACCTACCTATACCTATCTACCTACCTATACCTATCTACCATAGGGAATGAAAGAACAAATTCTGAATCAATCAATACTAAATAACTTTCTTGGTTCTGTTACTATAGATTCCAGCACAAGCATCACTGCCTTCTTTTCAATAATATTGAGAAATAAGAACAGTGAAGTTATGCAGGGAATGAGGTATATTTAGCTTGGCAAAATTGTTTTAGCGCCAGTTTCTTCTTCTCTTTATCTTGTAGACATAATTGCCATATTAACCATCAAATTTTCTGAAAATGAGTGCTCAAGATGATATATAGTTACAATGTTCAATTTATAGATTATAACAATTAGTCAACGAAACATAAGTAAAACCCAACTAAGTATATAAAAAGTTGCTTACAGTAGGATGCCTGCATTACATTTTATCCTAACTAATCTTGAAACTAATGAAATACTTCAGTATTTCATTAGCTTGGCTACAATACAAGGCAACCCTGATTATCTGACACCTTGATATCTGCAGACATGTTTAGAAACGTAATTTTGGCGCGAACATAGTTTTTCTGTGATCAGTGTCACTATGACGCTTCACGGTCTACGTGGCTTTTTAAGAGACTATTCAGGAGACAGACTCGGGTGCGGCTTATTTTTTAGTGGTATACGCATACAATGAGGACATGAAGAGTCCTCACCCCCTTTATCTTTTGAACAGAACAAGCTAGCGAGGTCGGGCAAAATTCAGGTAAGAAAGTACCTCTTTCACTACTTTTTGGCATAAAAATGGGCATCATCAACTTTTTTTCAAATTCAATGACGGATCACGTGGTACCTTGGAAAGCCATTCGATAGTAGCAAGAAGCAGTAGTTCAAGTTTCGGGTTTTGACGTTTCCTATAAAGTTGAAATCAGACATTGTCGGTAAAACACTAGTGACTACGTTTATGGTGGACACTATGAGTTCCATTAATTATTCTAATAAACTGGAGACGACTTGAGTCCATTTTCCTCTACAGTTTTTTGTTTCTGATAATATCAAATAGAAAAACAACAAATTAATTCTACTAAAAATTACGTGTTGTTTATAAATAATCTTTATCTTTGATGAATTATTGCTGAATAGGTAGATTAAATCGCATCAAATCGCGGTAAACATTCCAAGTAACTAATATAATATCATGAAATAGTAATGATATCCTGTTAATATACTTCTCATACCTATTAATTTTATCTAAAACAACATTTCGTGCTTGTTGAAGGTCACCGGTACTAAACCAAATGTTAATTGCATTTATTAGCTTTTCGGAAAGTACAACATTTTACCTATAAATAGATGAAGAAGAGCAAACTCTAATTGTCCAGGTTTTTTTATCAACGTCATGAGCTGAATTACATGGGCGCCGCCAAGATTACTTTCAGGTGGGTGCATCTGCATCTACACACTACTATTAATTATAGATCATTTTATATGTATATATTTGTTATTTCAAGAATACAATTTTGGATAGTAATTTGGAACCTTTAATTTTCAATTCAAACAGTAACGCAATTGAAAAAATTTTGATCTTTTCTTTTTTTTTTTCTCGAGTTTCTCGCCAGGGGGGTGCAAGTGCACTCACTTGCACCCTGCTGCTGGCACCCTCGGCTGAATAACATTCTTAACATATTACAAAGCTATCACTTCGTAAATTATGTTAATTTTGTTTTTTTTCTACTTTAATTTTTTTTTATATAATATTCCTCAGTATTCTTAAACTCAATATAGGAAGAGTTTCAATTTCTTCCATCTATATAACTGTGTGGATCACAAAAAAGTAATAAATTCAAAATATCCCAGATCCAAAATATATCGAAGAAACTGGGATACACATGGACGTATAATTTTATATTTTATATATATTTTTTTCCTGAGTACAGTCTGACCAGGATAAGTTTTTTTTGTGGAATTTCGAGAAAAGTATAAAAGCTTTCAGAATCTGTGAAAATATTATCAAGACCGTATTTAAAAACAAAAGTGGATTATGGCTCTATGATGAATGAATATGAAACGTCGCCTAGAGATATCAATATCACCACGTTAAAATAGCTGCCATGGAAAAGTATGTTTAGTTTTTCTGTATCTCTAATAATAACGTAAATAAAATTAATAAATATTTTCTAAAAATTCACTTTTTTTTCGATATATCTGAAAAACTATAAATGATTTTGAGGCCGTTGGTATGACCCTCCCAATGCGCAACTTTTTCCCCATTTAACCGAATTCCTTTCTCCTACTGTTTCCGACATCCCCATGTTATGCAACCTTATCTTGGTCAGACTGTACAGGGTGATTCACCATATATGTCCCCCCTTCACTCCAGCTCACTTAGTTTTGAACTGATTTCAAAATTGGAAAAATATCTGGAATTATTTCAATTATTTGTCCCCTACATCAGAACTACAGGGTGCTCGGAACAAATGATCTACAGGGTACTAGCTGATTTTTTTAAATGGAACACCCTGTATTTTTGTATTTTCAAATTCTCCCTGAAGTGCTGATTTCGTCAATGTATCATACTCCTGGTCTAGCGGGAATGATTACAAAGATATAGGGTGTTCAAAATTGAAATTTCCTCAACTTTCGGATTTTTTTCTGTCTAAATTATCCATTATTAGCCAAGATGGCTTTCATGCTCCTATCTATACTTCTGATTTACTTTCTACTGACAATTAATTGGAACAATACAGGGTGGTTCAAGATTCAGAATTCTGCTCACCCTGTATTTGTTCTAATTATCAATGGAAGCCGTTTCGACAAATAATGTATAGTTTCGACAGAAAAAATCCTAAAGATGATAAAACTTGATTTTGAACACCCTATATATCTGTAATCATTCCCGCTAGATCTAAAAATGCAATGAAATACCGGATGTTCCATTTAAAAAAAATCAACTATTACCCTGTGAAATCAGTAAAAAAATAAGTGAATCATCCTGTACTTATACATGTTAGTAATCATTTCTGTAAAAATTCAAGGACAGAAAATATTTTTCTCTTTGTACTGTTTCACAAAATTTGAAATTATTCAATGGATTTAGAATTACAGAGGTTGAAGTGAGGGTTGATGAACTATTTAAAAAAAATGAGTACTCAATAATGACTACATGATTGCATGCTTTCTAAATTATATATGTTCGTATTTGATTTTTTTTCTTACATATTGCAATCGTGTAAAGACATTTGCCTAATGATAAGAGGTAATTGGTACAGGTTTTAGTTGCTTGTAAATTATGTTTTTTAATCTTTGGCAAATATCTATTTTATAACGGAATTCCCGAAACCATAATATAGATAACCTTGTCAACTGCATTTTGTAAATAGCACGCCACATGTAGATATTGAATTGAACTATACAAGGTGTTATTGTGGGTGATTTTTGACCTATTATGTTAACTCATTAACAAAATTGTTCGCTCTTGATCATCTTTGTCAGCGATTAGTACCAATAGTGATATATTTCTCATCAACCAATGAGAACAAGATTCCACTTCTGAGATATATACAACATACAGGGTGATCTACGTAAGCCAAAACTTGAAAATTGGTATGCTGTTACCATTTCCGATCTACCTGATATTTTCAGTCCTCTAACTATACAGGAAAATCATTCCTAACTCCGTGAGTGTCCTGGCATTGATTGAAAGGCAAACATGTTTAGCATATTGCTAAATGGCATTCATTCATTCATTCATTCTTTCATTCATTCGCAACGTCATATGACGGCCTTGAAATCCGCCGATACAGGTAATGTTGCATTTATGAAGTGAATTTCGGATTCAGTGCATCCTACTACTTTTTTTTCTCTTCAGTGTTAGCAGAGCGATCAGACAGTTTTCCTGGCGAATTCTCATTGTTGTTTTTTATAAATGAAAGAAAATACTCCGAGTCGGTAGATCACACACCGGCCGTCATCAGACTAAATAAGACCTGTTATGGGTCAGGAAAAACAAACAGTACCATTGACATTACATTTGACATTACTTGGAGTTTTTTTCTTCCATTTATGAATACTGTAGGTACCAAAATATATGTTTTCGTATTTATATCGTCGATGCCTGATGATTTCCGAGCAAATATCAGGAGCAATCAAATACAAAGTATATTTTATTTCTGGAAATTATTCAGTATAAAATTACTTCCCAACGATATATGACAATCATACTTTCAATCTACAATCTACTCATATGATTGAGATTTTATAATAACATATTATGTTTTGTATTTCCCTCGTAACTTGTCGGAAAATTATCTAATTAAATATTTTGTGGCGTCAGATTTTGCAGTATCAATAATGATTCTAAACCCATGGAAAAAAACCAAGATCACAGCCAACTAATATGAGTTTGAGAAGATCAATACAATGTGAGTAGGG